TTTTTCCCTCTCCTCCCTCCTTCCTCCAACCGGTCGCCGGACCGACGACTGGCTAGAGGCCGGCGAGGGCAGCCTCGCGCTGGGCGAGTCCCGACCTCGCCGGATCTGGTGAGGTCGTGCCTCGCCCAGCCACCGGCGAGGCTCGACCTCGCCAGATCCGGTGAGGTCGAGCCTCGCCTAGCCATGGCGAGGCTCGAGCCCTCGCTAGAGGCCGCGCTGGGCGAGTCCTTGCTGTCCCTCATCTGCCCTTGCCGGCCCCAGGCGAGGGCTAGCGACCCTCGCTCAGATCTGAGGCGATGGTCGCGCCCTCCCCCAGATCGGGGCTGCAAGCCTTCGCCGAGGGCTCGCTCGGGGCCGGCGAGGGTCGCCGGGCTTCGGGAAGGCCTAGGCGACCTCCGCCGGCCCTTCCCGGCTGCTGTGGCGGCGGCCACCGGCGAGGGCTTGGCCACCGCCACAGTCGCTGGTTGGGTCTTTTTTTTTATAGCTTTTTTCCGATTTAATTTATATTTTTTTAGTTTTTTTCTGACACGGCGCTTGTTATACGCCACATCATCGCCACGTGTCTCAAGAAAAGTAATAAAATAGGACACGTCAGCAGCAAGTCAGCATTTTCAGTTAGTAAATTAGACGGTGTTAACTTTAGGACTCGATCGAATCAATTTGACAAGTTTTAGGACTCGATTACACCTTTTGTAAGTTTTAGGACTCAATTGCACTTTTGTGACATGTTTTAGAACTTTTAGTGCACATATCCCAATATTCTATTATTAAGTCTTATGGTTCAAGTTTATTGTCATGACTTGTTTCGGACCATTAACGTTTTTATGTTTCGTCCGAATTCCAACTATCTCCATTGTTAAAATATTCTACATCTTTCGTCTACATGATTCGTATGCTTTTTATATATTTGTAGTCACGCTCAATATGTAAACTTAAGCTTTTGGATTGAACAATCTGACATGTTATCTAAGTTAGATTTTGCTCTAGATTATTTCGCATGTGCAATCCTCATTCGTCAAATTCCACAGTGTCATTTCTAATCCAACTTATGCGTAGGGGTATTAAAATATCTTATTTCGCACCTTTGCGGGGTTTATGTGTTAAACTTTTGAATTGTATATGCTAACATCCATCACGGCTCAAATAGCAGCAACGCAATTGGTCGCTATCGCCGCAACCACCAACCGCCATCAGACTCCATCACCACCGCCACCAAACACCAAGGGTCACCACCACGCACCGAATTCCACGGTGCCCCGAATTAGAGATGTACGCTCTCATATCCGAGGTTGCGCGCTTCGATTAGGATGTGGCTCGCCTTAAACAGAGGTGGCGCCTCGAGTCCGAGGCAGTGCGTTATAGATTGAAGCAAAACCCCTAAAAAATCTAGATCGGCAGTCGAAGTTTATACGGATAAAAAGTAATCAATTAACGTGTTGCCATTTGTAGGTGGGTGATGGGTACGGCACGAGTTGCAGGTCCGAAAGAGATGGCGCCAAACGTGAGGTTGCCGCGGTGATGGGTTCAGAGAGGTCGTCATTGATGATGGCTTCATGACACGACGGTTGTGGCTACACAAAGAAGAAGAAGAAGAAGACAGGGCCATGTCTGGACAGAGAAGGAAGCAGAAAGAATAAGAAGAAGGAAAAGAAGAAAGAAAAAAGAGAGAAAAAAACATCATTAATTATTTTTAGTCTTAGTTGGCATCCTAGTCATCATCTTGGACAATTTTTGTTGCGTAAGCATGCCACATCATCGTTCTAAATGGTTACCTAACCGCGTTAGTACTAAGTCAGTAATTTCCGTCAATAAATTTAACAGAACCACCACATTGAGGCTAATTTGAAAAATTGAGACGTGATTGAACAAAAGAAAATATTAGGTTCTTAATTTAAAAATGAACAAAAATTAAGATATTTGCGACCAGCTAGAGACAAAGGCCGGCGAGGCTCGACCTTGCCTAGCCAAATCATCATCTTTGGACAATTTTTGTCGTGTAAGCACGCCAAATCATCGTTCTAAACGGTTACCTAACCGTTTTAGTACCAAGTTAGTAATTTCGTCGATAGATCGGAAAAAGTTAAGATATTCGCAGTATCATTATCTCTTAATTTGGCTACCGTCCTTTGGGGCTCTTCCTAGCCGAAGCCTAGTATCTCGGTATTTAAATCCAGTTAGGTCATAATTTGACCTAGCTTTTATTAGTATATTTTTGCATCGACTCATTCTACCTTCTCTTTTAGGAAAATAAAAGAAGAAAAAGAGAAAGAAAAGAAACGTTAATTCTACCTTTCAACCTTCACTAATTTTTCATTTCATTTATGTTATCTTTATGACATAGTTGCTGTCTTAAGGTTGAAACATAACATGATAGCCAATATATATTCCTCATTTTTATTCTTTGAAGCCAAATATACTCCCTAATTTTCTTTAACCTAAATACATATATAGCAGCATATATATATACACACACATATATATTTATATATATAGAAGGATAATAGCATCTCGAGATAGATAGATCCATAGTTAGCGACCTCAAGCTACTTAAAATTTAATAATCTACACTACCCTAGCAGGCTAGCATTGGAGATGCGAGGAATCGTTAGGAGAAAAGGGACCGGCATCTACAGAACTAGAGAAATCACCGGGCATTCTCTTGGGGCCTATTTGGTAATCATTTTGTTTCTTTATTTTTTTTTTTTCGGTTTTTTGTTTTTCGGAACAAAAAAAAAAACAGGAATCCATTTGGTAACGTTAGTTAATTTTTCTATTGCCCGGATGAGAAAAGTGATCAGGGAATAGATTTGAAACATAAACAAGAAGTAAAAAAAACCTACGTCTTTATGTCCGAGAATAATTTATGAAACAAGTCATTTTCTTTTTTTTTTTCTTTTCCCTTTTTCCTTCTTTCTTCTTCCTTCTTTAGCCGGTCACCGAGCCTCGGCGATGGCCGGCAAGGTCGACCTCGCGGTGGCCTGGCGAGGTCGACCTCGTGGTGGCCTGGCGAGGCCGACCTCGTGGTGGCTCGGTGAGGAGGAAGAAGAATGGAGGAAAAAAAGAAAAGAAAAAAAATTAGAAAAATCTCAAAAAATTCCACATCACAAAATTTTTTTAGGGTCATACCGAAAGCTTTTCTCTTCTTTTTCTATCCGAGAATATATATTTTGTACAGTTACCAAATGCTTTCGTCTGCTTAGAAACTCGTTCAGGGAATAATGATAGAAAAAACTATTTCTGAAAAAAAAAATTATTTCCGAGAACGGAAATGTTACCAAACCCACCCTTAGTATAATGTGCCATATAGTATTGAGACTAAGGCTCTTTCCGTCAAGTGTCAATACGACGGGTGTACCATTTAATATGTTATAGCATAAGGTCCCTCAGTTTCACCACGGATCAACGCATCGGGGTGTCTCACTTTCAAAAATTTGGCAATCTCGCCAGAAAAACTAGCGAGCCCGACGTTTTTAGGTCAAACATACTCGTGATTGCACCTAATTCATTCACACATTCTTTGGAGTTGATTTCAGTGATTAATGAACAATGGAATTGACTCGTGGTTTAGGCGAACGGGCACTAACCTTCTCGTTCTTGGACCACAAATCTGAATTTCAGCTTACGTTTTTACTTCCTCTTTTATTGGCCGAAAGCTTCCGTTTTACTTGATCCATGAGATAATGAGACATTACGAGCTTAATCATGTAAGGGGGCTTCTTCTCGTCCTAAGAGAGAACATAGAAGGGTGTGTTTGTATAAGTGAAAAAGTTTTTCGCAAATTAGTTTTGTGGACCATTATATATTGGTTTGCTGAAATCGATCAGCCGATGAAAAATCATTTACAGCAAAAAAAAAAACAATGCATGTTTAAAGTTAGGAAAATTAATTCCATAACCTAAAAAATGGGAAAGTATTTTCCTGAAAAATAATTTATCGGAAAATATTTTCTTTTATCATGATATTTTTTTCCAAAACAAACACACCCCTAGTAATAATTCAACGTTACCGTCATGTGACCTCATAGGATACTCCTGTTGCAAATTTTAGTTGTCCTAACTTTCATATTAAAGTTTTGAGTATAAAATATCTCTGAAGTACTTATCACTCTAAAAGCAAATTAGTTTACTCATTAACTCTATGTAAATCTTTGTTTAATTAAATATTGCAATTTTTTTTTAATTTGGATTTAGGATTCCCCTTATTCCTTTATTCAAATATAACGCAAGAAATTAATGACGGAAATGAAATTCCTTGCTAGTGGTGACTTTTGAGTTAAGAGACTCAACACCATAAGATTCTACCACTCCATGAAATTTTTTATTTTTATTTTGGGGGGGGGGGGGGGGGGGGTGGGTGAGATTGTATTAGATAGTATTAGAAAAATAACAGAATAATACTATAAGGGCTAGACTACGAAGATTTGAAATTTGAGAGACTAAAAGTGTAATTCTGTAAAAAACAAAGAAACATATATATATATATATATATATATATATATATATAAAATTTATTAGTTATGTGTATGTGTTTCCTCCATAACTTCCTATTTCTAAGAGCATTAGCTATATAACATGCACTTATCGAACTCAAGCTAGCTTTGATAATCAATGAATTTAGTATCCTTGAGTTACCATCTTCCGTCCAATAGTAGTCGAGTCATATCGATCGTTTTGGAATCAAAGCTGTTAAATGCGATGAAGAGTTTTCGACGGAATTATGCCTTTCTCTAGTTAGATCCACCCCAAATACTCGCGAACTAGTATTAACCCAAAAATAGAAATTGGATTTCCTAATTTTCCTTGATTGTGGCTGACATACAAGAAAGATATAACACATGAATATTAAAAAAAAGAAGAAGAGATTATGGATACGATTTGCACTTCATTTACTCTCATCATAGTTGACTTCTTGTATGTTTATTGAGTAATTCTACCCCCTTTGGTTTTCACCCATTTGAAGGTGATGGCAGAGTCTATATAAAGAGCGGGAGAGCTTTGGAATTGGCATCACCAAAATCCAAGCTTTGGCGAGCTTGGAGAAGAACATGATGAGGTCCTCAATGGCCTCCTTGGTTGCCACTCTACTGGTGGTAATAGCATCTCTTAGCTTGCCGACGGAAGCCACCGAAAACCTTGGTATTACGATACACACTTCACTTCCTGGGAAATCTCCTCCGCCGCCCGACTCTCATCCTCCTCCTCCTCCTCCTCCATGGTGGCAGTGGCAGCCTTTGCCTCCACCATGGATCCATAAGTCTCCACCCCCTCCACCGCCCAAAACGCCTCCTCATCCTCGGTGGCCACTGCCACCTCCGTTTTTCAAGTCTCCACCTCCTCCGCCACCCACGCCACCACTGCCACCGCCAAGATCTCCTCCACCACCGCCACCACCACTGCCCAAGTCACCACCTCCTCCGCCACCCACGCCACCGCCACCGCCACCGCCACCGCCAAGATCTCCTCCACCACCGCCACCGCCACCGCCAAGATCTCCTCCACCACCGCCACCGCCACCGCCACCGCCACCGCCACCGCCCAAGTCACCACCTCCTCCGCCACCTCCACCACCCACGCCTCCTCCGCCACCCAAGTCACCACCTCCTTCAACACCTCCACCACCCAAGTCACCACCTCCTCCACCGCCACCTCCTCCAACACCACCACCACCACCGTCACCACCTCCACCACCACCTCCGACACCCAAGTCACCCCAAGTCACCACCTCCACCTCCTCCAACACCACCACCACCACCCACTCCTCCGCCGCCACCACCGCCAAAATCACCACCTCCTCCGACACCTCCAACAACCACGCCTCCTCCATCACCCAAGTCACCACCTCCTTCGACACCTCCACCACCCAAGTCACCACCTCCTCCACCGCCACCTCCTCCAACACCACCACCACCCACTCCTCCGCCACCACCACCGCCAAAGTCACCACCTCCTCCGATACCTCCACCACCCAAGTCACCACCGCCGCCTCCTCCAAACACCTCCACCACCCACGCCTCCTTCACCGCCACCTCCTCCAACACCACCACCACCCACTCCTCCGCCACCACCACCACCAAAGTCACCACCTCCTCCGATACCTCCAACATCCACGCCTCCTCCACCACCCAAGTCACCACCTCCTCCACCGCCACCTCCTCCAACACCACCACCACCCACTCCTCCGCCACCACCGCCGCCAAAGTCACCACCTCCTCCGACACCTCCACCACCCAAGTCACCCACCCTCCACACCACCACCACCACCCACCCACTCCTCCGCCACCACCACCGCCAAAGTCACCACCTCCTCCGACACCTCCACCACCCACGCCTTCTCCACCGCCACCTCCTCCAACACCATCACCACCCACTCCTCCGCCACCACCACCGCCAAAGTCACCACCTCCTCCAACACCTCCACCACCCACGCCACCCAAGTCACCACCTCCTTCAACACCTCCACCACCCAAATCACCACCTCCTCCACCGCCACCTCCTCCAACACCACCACCACCCACTCCTCCGCCACCACCACCGCCAAAGTCCTCCCTCCGACACCTCCACCACCCAAGTCACCACCTCCACCTCCTCCAACACCACCACCACCACCCACTCCTCCGCCACCACCACCAAAAAAACCACCACCTCCTCCGACACCTCCAACACCCACGCCTCCTCCACCACCCAAGTCACCACCTCCTTCGACACCTCCACCACCCAAGTCCACCACCCACCTCCTCCACCACCACCTCCTCCAACACCACCACCACCCACTCCTCCGCCACCACCACCGCCAAAGTCACCACCTCCTCCGATACCTCCACCACCCAAGTCACCACCGCCGCCTCCTCCTCCACCTCCACCACCCACGCCTCCTTCACCGCCACCTCCTCCAACACCACCACCACCCACTCCTCCGCCACCACCACCGCCAAAGTCACCACCTCCTCCGACACCTCCAACATCCACGCCTCCTCCACCACCCAAGTCACCACCTCCTCCACCGCCACCTCCTCCAACACCACCACCACCCACTCCTCCGCCACCACCGCCGCCAAAGTCACCACCTCCTCCGACACCTCCACCACCCAAGTCACCACCGCCACCTCCTCCAACACCACCACCACCGCCGCCAAAGTCACCACCTCCTCCGACACCTCCACCACCCACGCCTTCTCCACCGCCACCTCCTCCAACACCATCACCACCCACTCCTCCACCACCACCGCCGCCAAAGTCACCACCTCCTCCGACACCTCCACCACCCACGCCTTCTCCACCGCCACCTCCTCCAACACCATCACCACCCACTCCTCCACCACCACCGCCGCCAAAGTCACCAACTCCTCCAACACCCACGCCTCCTCCACCACCCAAGTCACCACCTCCTTCGACACCTCCACCACCCACTCCTCCGCCGCCGCCGCCGCCGCCGCCGCCACCTCCACCACCACCACCACCCAAGTCACCACTCCCTCCGACACCTCCACCACCCACGCCTTCTCCACCACCGCCTTCACCCACCACCGTCACCACCTCCTCCGACGCCTCCACCACCGCCACCACCTCCAACACCACCCCCACCCACACCTCCGCCACCACCGCCACCTCCGCCACCTCCGCCACCACCGCCACCACCACCCAAGTCACCACTCCCTCCGACACCTCCACCGCCCACGCCTCCTCCACCACCGCCTCCCCCAACACCACCACGACCCACTCCTCCTCCGCCGCCACCACCACCACCACCACCACCACCCAAGTCACCACCTCCTCTGACACCTCCACCACCGCCACCACCTCCAACACCACTCCCACCCACACCTCCGCCACCACCGCCACCGCCATCGCCAACACCACCTCCACCACCTCCTCTGACACCCCCACCACCCACAACACCTCCACCCCCTAGATCGCCATCGCTACCACTACCGCCATTGCCACCGCTACCGCCATTGCCACCGCTACCGCCATTACCACCGCTACCCATTACCATCGGTTAATAGGCCTCATCCACCACCACCCAAGCCTAACAAGCCTCCTCCACCACCGCCACCCCCGCGGGCTCAGATCTCCTCCTCCTCCTCCTAGGCGTGGAGATGACTAGGGAATGTATGTCACTCGCAAGGTGAGACACTCTCAAGAATAACCGAATCCAAACAATCTGCTTACATAAGTCCAGTATTGATGATCATTGTCCCAATAACCGACTTTCTTATTCGATCATGCAATGTGTTTCTGTTTCATGCATTATTCACTATTTAAAATAACAGGAAATTGATTTCTTTAGCAAATGATAGAAAAATTATTAATTATCTATCTTTTGCAGGATATGGACACAAGAAACATCAAGAATAAGGGGAGGCTCAAGGTCCTTGGTGAAAGGGAGCTCCTAATAAAACATTCATAATCTTTGAGGCAATCGTCCCCACTTATCTTGGCTTTCATATGATGTTGCTCTCGACTGCGAGTGTCGATGTTGGTGTAACGTCTTGTTTGTAGTGAAATGAAAGTGCAATATTGCCTCGAAAAGTTTCAGATTTCTTTTGGTGATTGCCCGATTCCATATAGAATGATTTAATACTTAAATTTCAAATGCAGTTCCAAGAGGGCCAAAGGTCATTTGAATAAGTTGATAAATTCCGCATTATTCCGGTACAAAATTTTAGAATATCTCATCATCATATCATCATTTAACATAAAATTCCGGCTATTGGTGAATATTTCGATGAAGGAATCATTAAATATATTTAAAAGAACGCACTTGAATGCGTAAAAATGACGCCTTTGTTGAAACTGCCGGAAGAAAACTGATTTCTTTCTCTGATCCCTTTTCTCAATCTCACGACATAGATGGAATTTGCATATATACGTGTGTTGTTAGGAAGGGCTGGTTTTATATTGGTACATCGATCAAATAATAATAAGTTTAAATCAACGCCCGAGATTTTCTATCCGATAATTTTTGCATTAATATATTTGTAATTTCCATGATAATCGGACCACTTAATGACATAATTTTATACATCCATGATCTAGCCAATCTTCCGGGGATTTTCTTAATATTTTCGCGATTTTTAGCGACACAGGATGCTACTGTAATGGTTCAATACCATCAAAATCATGATATAACTTATGTGGTTCGTGTACCTCCCCTAATGTTCAAATGGCCCTTTCTTTGACAGGGCAAAAGAATAATCAAGAGGTCAACAAGGGTTGCTTGAGATTACTTAATTCTTTTGGCCTCCAAAAAAAATTATGAGAAATCGATTATCTAGGATGCTAAATAAATAACAAATGAAGAGTAGAGTATTTAATTCGGAAATAAAAAATCAAAAAAAGTCATAAACCTTTTAATTGGGTTAATTTAGTCATAAACCTTTTGCATTTGTACTGATTTAGTTCATCCGGCCTGAAATCTGACGTGGACACCGGCCGTCCGGCTAGCGCCAGCGTGGACAATTTTTAATACTGAATTGGCCGTTATATGTCAGTCATTTGCAGCCAAAATTGGCCGGATAAACTCAATTGGCACAAATGCAAAAGCTTTATGACTAAATTGATCGAATTGAAATGTTTAAGACTGAACTGGTACCAATACAATATGTTTATGACTTTTTTTGTACTTCTTTATATTTAATTCGAGTTTAGTCGTTCAAAAAGAACAACGTGAGTTCAGATGATGCCTTGGTATTACTAAAAGAGCGACACGTGAATAAAAAGGTGACTCGGCTTTATGATTATTATTGTGATTAGGCTTCACTGCCTAGCCATTTTCAATAAATGAAGTTTCATGACGGATGTTGGAATATACATAAACTTTGCATGACCCGATTAAATTTTGTTATCACATGAAGTTAATTAAGGAAAGAAAACCCATTAACTTTATGTTTCAACTTAAACAGCTATAATGATGGAAAATGTGTTCGTAGGAAAAAGCCAACTAACCTTACAAAATTGAAAGCACAATCCAATGCATATGGATGGACATGCAGAGAACGATGCGCAGTTACCACATAGAGACCCACCAATCTGTAAGATAGTTACCACATAGAGACCCACCAATCTCTAAGATAGGGTCATATCATATTCATATCGTATGTCGTCCATTTGCCAAAGACTCGTCTCCTTACAGGAGGCATCGCCACAAGATGCGGTCCATGTCATGTACCTGGCCACAAGTATCTTGATTGAAGTCCCATATTGTGTCATGTAAGTGGACTTAAAGTCCCACGTCCCTCCATATAAATGAACTAAAATCTCATGTCATTTCATTTCTTATTATCATCCTTTTAAGAGAGGAGGCCATATATACATACCACCGTAGGTTGTGACTAGAGCCTATGTTGTATACATGGCAAAATTGCATGGTAAAAAGCATGTTTCCAAGTGAATCATCCCAACCACAAAATCCAAAGCTCATGTAGTCCATTATATCTTTTTAATCTATGGGAAAAAGCCGCCAAAAACTCTCAAACTATGCCTACTGTGACAGATATATCCTAAACTTTTTTCTATGACACAAAAAATCATAAATTTGTACATGTGTGACATATCCGCCCTCCGTCAAAATTCCATCAATAGGAATCGTTAAAAATTTGCCTACATGGATGCCAAAAGGAAAACGGTGTTAACATGACGCTCATGTGATTTTGGTTGAAAAATCATTTAACGGAACCTTGACAGATAGTTCAAAGTGGATATAGTTGGGGTTTTTGATATCATAATAAAAAATTTAGAGTAAATGCGTAACGATGGACATAGTTTTGGGCTTTTGGTGGTTTTTTCCCTTAATCTAAAGACCAAGGTAATCAATCCCTTGACTTTACATGCACTACCCAATAATTAATATATATACACATAAATATATCAAATAAGTTGACATCATCAAACAAGCCCTTATTATAAAAAGACGTACTTCCAAGATCTGTAATAGTCCCATAATCGTCACCCAATTCCCGTGGGGGACATTTTTCTCTCTCTATTGTGTTTAAATGCTAGACATCGACATATTATATATACCAAATGAATAATAAACCAACTTTAGAGAATTCAGCAAGACAAAAGTTAATCATTGCATCTTACATAGGCTTGCCGAAATTCATGGAAGAGATAAGATGGGGTGTCTTGCATCTTTTTGTCCTTTTGCCGAGCCTATGGACCTCATAATCTGCTATTTGTCTTATGTCCGTGGTCTTTCAAATTCGCCTCCTCGTTCTCGGAAGACAATCCCATTAAAACTTCATGCATGGTCATTGGAGAAATTGAACCTAAGGCGTTTTCCAGAATTTTCGCTCAAGTCGTATTTCGACGGTGATTATGTAGTTTCATTTTTCTTGTAATTTTCATAAAAAATACATCTATTTCGGCGTCCATTATAAAAATAGCCACATTTAATCCGACGTGTCGGTGACATGGCACTAGGCGCAAGATTGAGGACATTACAATGACTGCTGTAGTTAATGGAAAATTATTAGGTATTCCCGGCCTACGTTAAAGGGTGTAAACATGGAGAAAACTGATCCGAAGATGGGAAGCCCCCACGTAATATGCAGTTTCCACCTTTGAATGGCATATCACAGTTGTGTCTTCATTTAACCTATAGAAAACCACATGGAGTTTGGGGCCCTTTAGACTTTTTAGGGGTGGACAGCAACTCCAAAGGGTAGCATAGATGTAAGAAAACTCATGCTACGATCGTGTACATTATACTGCGAAGTTATTTTACACTGGTTAAAGTATTTTGTGCGCTTACCAGGATAGGGTCTATGGGCGATCAAGAGGGTCCGTGGCCGAGGATAGCAACCTCCATTGCACTCTCGGAGGCGCTCGCCTAGGGGTCAGTCCTAGTTGGCTGAGCCTATGTCATAATTTATGGCATTCATTGTGCTGCACCATGTGACTTAACAGGCCTAGAAGCGATCTAGTCCTAACCCAATAGCATTCGACTCATTTGTTCGAGGGTTACTGAAACGTTGCTTGGAAAGCGCTAACGAGGATGCATATGTATCTTGTACATGCGTGCCTGTTTGCATGTATCTTGTATCCCTGTGATCAGATCGGTCCTAGGTTTCACACTCACCAGACAAAGGGGTGTTGTAGTGTACTAGGAATGCGATATGGACTGAATATGTCAGATGCATTTGTGCCTAGGACCATTCAAGTAACGTGAACGTTGCTATGGATCATTAACTCAATTTCAGTTTCTGTGTCTTCACAATCCCATAGAGACCAAACTTTTACAATTTCTCAGAGTCTGTCTCAAGTAATGTTCCTGAAAGTCCATGGCTCTTGTGATGAAGAGTGAAACGAGTGAATTACACTCCAGTCTGCTTCTCTCTGAGGAATTTAAAGACGACACAATACAAAAGAACTAACCAAAATGGCTTTTAGGAGTCATATACGGCAAGTCGTCGAAACCGCCGGGGCTTCGATCCCCTCCATTAGTCAGTATTTCCTTGGACTGCTCCGGCAAGACAGACCGGATCCTGACCGTTGGCTTCCGAGGTGGCAAACGCGGCGCGGGATCTTCGCCCTTCAAAATCCTAGCGGCCTCCTTCATGGCAGGCCTCTTCTCAGGGTCGGCATGCACGCAGCAGAGTCCCACTCTCAGCATCCTCACCATCTCGGCCTCGTTGAACCGGCCTCTCAGCCTCCGATCGACGGCCGAGATCAATTTCCCCTTCTCCCACTGGCCCCACACCCAGTCGACCAGGATGACCCCGCCTCGGTCAACCGGCAGCCGCCCCGTGGCGACCTCCAGCACCACCACCCCGAAGCTGTACACGTCGGTCTTCGTCGTGGGCACGCCGTAGTACACGTACTCGGGTGCCAAGTACCCCATTGTCCCTGCCGGTATCGTCACCGCTCTGGTCCTGCAGCTGTGCTCGTACACCTCCGCCAAGCCAAAATCCCCCAATTTGGCGTTGAACTCCGAATCGAGCATAATGTTGCAGCTCTTCACATCTCTGTGAATGATCTGCCTCTCGCACTCTTCATGTAGATAGGCGAGGGCCGAGGCGACTCCAAGGACAATTTTTTTCCGCTGTTCCCAGGAGAGGAACTTCGCTGAGTGCGAACAGTTGTGAAGGAACGTGTCCAAGCTACCATTGGGCATGTATTCATATATCAGGAGCAGTTCATTCCCCTCACAGCACCAACCCTGAAGCTGGACTAGATTCTTGTGCCGCAAGCAACCGACCATGGTGGCGAACTCGGTTGTGAACGGGCACCGGCAATTCATGATCCGATTATCGCGGTCGAACCTCTTGACAGCCACAGTCCCGCCGGATGGCAGAGACCCCTGGTAGACAGTGGCCGATGCACCCTCACCAATGATCTTGCTCCTGCTGAATCCCATTGTGGCTGCTCTGATTTCTGCAAGTGAGAGTCTAGTTGGGACCTTGTTCAACTGGAATCTTGGGCCTTCTTGGGTTCTGATTTTTCTCTGCCTTGAGTTCTTTATCAGATAAAAACCAGCCACACTCAAAATCAAGATCAAGGAAATTAGGAAAGCTGCTAAACCTCCGAGTCCGAGAGCCATGTCCCTTGTCTTTGTTCCTGCATCACGGCGATCAGACTCAGAGCCGTCCATATCAATGATCGAATCTTCGGTCGAGCACGTTGAACACTCCCCTTCGTGGACATTGTCGTTAGCCGAAGTCGAAGTCGGCAAAAGCCCGAAAGTCCTGAACCTCCAGTGACTAACAATATGAACTGCGGAACCCTTGCCATTTGAAGCAGAGAACCCAACGTGCATATACTCCTTGAAGTGCCTGGAGAGATCAATCTGTGCGACCAGTGCAGGACTTGTTGGCCTGATGTGCGAATAACTGATCCAAATGCGTACCAATTTGACCGCATTCCTGTACTCGATCCAGGTGGTGATCTGCTTCCCGCTTTTCAGATCGACCCCTCTTGAGACCACGTCGACTGAAGCCAGGGAATACACCGAATTCACATCGATGCCGATGTGGTTCCCGTTGATGTCCCCGAATGAAGGGTCGAAGCTCGTGTCCATCTCAACAGCGACGAAGGACGATTCTTGCGATCCGAACGCCGGCGCAGGGAGGCCCAAGTACCCATCCTGAGGGCTGAAAGAATCGGTGTCCGACGTGATCAAGAACGCCAGGCCATCGCCGAAAGGGCACGAGGGGTTGCGGAGAATGATGAATGAGAAGCGGCAGAAGAAAGACGCGGAAGAGTTCGACGAAGAATCAAGAAAGCGAACCGGGTGCGCGTAGAAGGCCCTGCTGATGCCGCTGGAAGCAGAAGAGTAAGAGTAAGAGGAAAAAGGAGCGCAGCGACTGATGTTTTGCGTGAGGCTGATGGAATGGTTGCCGAAGGAAGCGTCGCCATAGAGAGTGACGTTGCGGGCGTGCAGGGATATGTCGGACACCGAGGGCGCAAAGAGGAGGAGGAGGAGGAAGAAGAAGAAGAGATAGAAAGAGATGGGTAGGGCAAAACAGGAAGGCATCGCTTGTACAACAAACAGGGGGAATATGCAGAAGCGGAACAATGAATAAAAGATTCGATCTGTGATGGGGTTAAGCGAAGGGAAACATGAAGGAAAAGCAGAGAGAGTGAGAGAGAGGGAGCGAAGCCGAACGAGAATCGAGCGGGAAATTGAAACAGAATAACGAGAAAAACAGTCGTCGAGATTGATCCCAAGGTGGAGATTCCATTTCCTTTCCCTCGCCTATGCCAGAGAGCACAGGGAGATGTCGTTTTTCTTCTTCAGAAAATCTTACAGTTCGTGATCTTGATCAATGAACATATATTTCTAACTTAATTACTGAATTCGATTTTCATACAAACGTACGAAAGTTTTGAATAAAAATCTTCTGAAAGATTGAAGTCTGGCCTGCTAGCCAATGGAAGTTGCTTAGCCTTTGCCTGTGCTTAATTTGGTATCTCATATCCAGAGATGGTGGGATTACCTCAAGTGTCCCAAGTTTACATCTAGAAACACCATACAATTGATTCACCTTAAATTTGCTTCATCATCATTCCCACCCATTTATCAAATAAAGTAATGGACATAAGAAATCGTATCGACTAAGTAATCCTAACGCCTATATACTATATAAGTACATGCACTACTACTTTCACATGATAATGAACCTCATGCGGATGGGATCGATAGTCACGCCGTATCAAATATTTTTCCCTCGTCATGCCGTGCGGTCGATCATAGCAAGGGAGATTTAATCACAGCAAGTCCTGTTTTATAATTATGGTTGGTGATTGACTAATAGGTTGCTTTTCTGTATGTCACGGGTTCCGTTTTGTGGACCTCGTATTTGGCTTCTAATTACTCTAAGCTGCCTTGTGTTGCTGATTGTGGTGGCTTAAATTGATGTACTTCATTGTATTTCGGAGATACTACAAGTAGAATCTTTTCTTTTCATTCCAGACCCGTGTTACTCTGTAAATCCAATAGTCAAATATGACCCGAGATAGGCCCAATTTTGCACACTACAGAAATTTCTGATTTTCAATTTCCAAAAGTGAATTATGAAACTAGAAGTTGAATGCTTTCCAATGCAAGAAAAAGGTCAAAGTTTTACAAGACCAACTGAACCCCCATTCCATAACCATAAGGAATTCAGGAATTGCACAGACTTTGAGACCTCTTAGTTTGAGAATAGGCTAGGTGAGGAAGGCTAAGCAAAGAGCTTCTCATGGGTTGATGGCAATGCTCCGCTACCCCTTAAGCAGCATTTCGTATATGTTCGGACTGTTGGCAATGCTCCACTCCCTGGCACTTTCTTCACATCATTGCTGAGTATCCGTAAGAAGAAAGAGCAAGTCCAACAAAATGGCAGGGAGCAGTTCTGAACAAGCGGGTCATGGGTGGCTTGACAACAACAAAATGGTAGGCTTTATGGTTTCACTCCAACGAGTTCTTAGTTGATCAACCTTAACACAACATAGATAGCAGCTAGAAAGAGCTTGAAATGGTCAGAGATCAGATACCCAATAGAAGGTTGGAGATGCTTACAACCAGCTAGAAATGAATACACTAACTTACAGGAAGAAATGAAGACATAGCAGCTCCAGAACCTGTATACAAATTTTCGATATTGGCGTAAATTAAACTTTTATAGTTCTTGTATTCCCGGGGAAAAATTTCGCAAACTACATTGGAATTGCGAAAACGAGCAATCTAAAGAAGGAGCCACGGCTTCCAGCTCTAGAGACTCTTTGCGCTTGAGGTACTGATGCAAAATGGTTAACCGCGCCGTCTCGAATGCGAAGTAACCGATCGCAGAGAAACACGCGCTGTGGACGACCCGCGGCCCCATCCCGCGAGTGAACCCGACCAGCCCTTCCTCCTTCAAGATCTGCTTCACCATCGCGGTAACCCCGCCGTACATCACCGCGCCGACCTTGCTCGCGGCCTCTGCGCGAACCTGAGTCATCAGCCTCGTCTTAACCACGTCCAGAGGCGTGGTCAGCGACGCGGATATGGCGCCGGCGAGCGCCCCGCAGCAAACGCTCTGCAGGGGCTCCATGCTGGCCTGCTTGGTCTTGCTCAAAACCGCAGCTTTCAAGTACTCGAACGAAGAGTAACTCAGAACACCCGCAGGCAAATTCCTCAACAGGGTAGCGGAATACCCAGCATAAAGCCCCAGCACGCCATCCTTTTCCAAGATCCTCAGCAGCACCTCCCAAGATCGTCCCTTCGCGCCCGCTTGCATCCTCTGCGTAATCAATTCTTTGGGCACCATGATAGCAGAAGACACGATGTTTCCCATCGCGCCGGCGGTCGGCGGGATGAGCACGGCGGGGAAATCCTCCATCTTCGACAAGACCGACTTCCCGAACTCGCAGGTACCGAAGTACACAGCGGAAGACGCAGTGGACCCGACAATGACAGCGGAGACCCCGCTGTAGAACCCCAGGATACCTCTCGATTGGAACGTCTTCACGACCGCGTCGAGCGTGTTCTTGTACAGCTCCGAGGCGCCCTTGGTCTGGAGCTTGGTCTTGATGGTGTCGAGCGGGTGCAGGCACACGTAGGTGAACGCGCCGGCGATCCCGCCCCCGGCGGCGCCGATGAGGGCCCGCTCGGCGACGGAGAGGCTCTTCATGAGGGACCGCACTCGGGGGCTGTTTCTCGAGGCGGGCTTGAACCATTTCGAGTAATTAGGAGGAGGGGGCGGCGGGTTAGGGTTGTCGAGGGAGAGGGTGGCGGAGGAGAAATTGATGAGGCCGGTGGCGGCGGCGGCGGCGGCGGCGGCGGCCTTGGGGGGCCGTCGGGAGGGAGGAGGGGAGACGACGAGGGAGGTGAAGTGGGCGAAGAGGGTCGCGAACTCCGACGGGATCGGGCGGTGGTTGGGGCTCGGACATGGGAGGCCGAGCGATGCAGAGAGCCTTCCCTCCATATCTCTCTCTCTCTCTCTCTCTCTGCGTGCGCTCTGGTTTGGTGGTGGGAGGCGAGAGGACGGAGGTAGGACACGAACGCTGCGTTTTCTCGTAGGTTTGCCATACGAAGTCGTTTTTTTTCGGCTTTGTGGAAAGTAAGGGCTCGTTTTGCCGAGCCAAATGTGTAGATATAACTTGCTATTGATAAAGAAAATATTTTTCATCTTCGGCCGATTATTTCAAGCGATATGAAAAATTAATTTTTAAGAAAATATTTTCTGAATCATTTCTTTTCTGCATAACAAAGGGAGCCTAATTTGAGCTTTTCGATTCGAAAAAAAAAACCTCAAGATGGTTTCGATAATTAAAGTCTGAGCTCGTTTCACTAAAAAATGGGCGAAGTACTTTTAGAATATGATGGATTGATGAATGAATCGTCCAAGGTTGTGAATGGTTCATTGTTGATTTTGGAAGTAAATGACAATGAGATGGAAAAGTACGACTTTAGGAACAATGGTAGTAAGTGATATAAAATACAGGTAAATGTTGAATATTTTGATTGATTGCATATCTTTTCACAAAGAGTACAACGTGGGAATTTATACCATACTATCGACGGTTTCAAACAACGGTTTTTAAATTCAAATAAACAAATAACTTCATAATCTTATTTGCGGTAACAAGAAGTTACTCCACACAAAACTTATCTTCAAAGTTATCCAACGACACTTTTCCACAAGAAATTACAAGAATCCCAAAATAGTGGTAATAAACATTATTACCCAACAGTTACTTTTTTGTGTTGATTGTTCTCTGTCGATGACTTTGTCAATCAACTTCCTAAGTCTTGATGAAGGCTCTCTTCGATAACTTTTAGGATGTTGTCGATGACTTTCTTAGCGAGTTGTTGATTCTTTTCAAGTTGTTGATTATTCAGTTCATTTTTTACCGAACTCTATTCTCATCGGCTAAATCTAATACTTGTCAATAATAGCCAAAAGTTGGTCTTTTTAGGTTGTTAATACAACTGATAACGATCAGTAATCAATTAAAGTATATAATTTGACAAAAAAAAAAGGATTCTTTCCCTAAAAATGATCTCTTGTATTATTTGAAATAATTAACAAAAATGTTTTCGTTATTAGCAATAATTTATATTTGAACATTGATGTGGACTCTGAAAATTTTTTCATTCATTCAATATTGTGATCGATATAAGAGATAATTTTTACAAAAGCGCGAAGTACTTTTAGAATATGATGGATCGATGAATGAATCGACAAAGGTTGTGAATAGTTCATTTTTTATTTTGGACAAGTAAATAACAAGAAATGGAAGAGTACGACACTAGGAACAAATTGAGTTCTTTGATTGATTTCGGATCTTTTTTACAAAGAGTACAGCGTGGGAATTTATAGCCTACTCTCGACCATTTCAAACAACAGTTTTTTTAATTCAAATAAATAAATAACTTTATAATCTTATCTTGTCACGCCCCGAACCCCAACGAGCTCGCGGCATCCCCTGCTCCGGTTGAAATGATGCGACGTCCCGAAACGCGCCGACCCAACCCAAACATCGAGCCACATGCGAAGCGAATAATAAAACCCCGGACAAATAATGACGACAACGGAGTAGAACAACATAACAATCCAAAGAACTACATATTCATACAACACCAAATATACAAACATCATATTACGGACATAAATACGGACTAACATCCTCGTCACCGTTTAAACAAAAGTTCAGGGGTTTGGTTATCTTAACTTCACTATCGGATAACCCAAGTTATACAACCCCTAAAACACCCTAGGGAAAAACCTAAGGGTCGCCCTCTTCCATTCTACTTCGAATTTCGCTTGAATCTCTGGAACTCACTGCGGCTCCACTGGGCACCAACAACAGCTCCCGGACTTCCAAAAGAAAAGGCGCACTTCCGGGTTTAGGGCGGGGTTTGAAAGTGGCGGTTATACAACCGTGAGACGAATCTCAATAAGTGTACAACCCCAAACCCCACGTAGGCACTCACGTACCGCCGCACGAAAACACACATAACATACAACGATCGGCCAAACTAACAATCACATGCGCCCCTACCCGGAATCCATCACGCACGTTCCACGTTAGACAATAACACAGCCAACACATCACAAGCAAGGAATCACAAACGCGCTGCCTTAATTATAAGACAGAAACCACTTGGGCACGTCCCATACCGTGCCTAGCAATTTCTACCCCATAATTAAGCATCACATCACGCGATACAAACACACTTGCACGCTACTCACACCATGCGTCACTTTCCACAATCCTCTCGCTTGTCTTGCCAAATCCCACTCATTTTCAACCTTTCCACCACTACCGCGCCCGCGTAAACGCATCAGGCCAACGGTCTTCCGACCTCGTCGGGCATCGTCACCCCGTCGGGCCGGGCATCGTCACCTCGTCGGGGACGGCATCGTCCCGCGTAAACGTACACGCCTCGGGACGGAATCCTACACACACTTTCCTTCTACCGCGCCCGCATATAACGCATCGGCCAACGGTCTTCGACCACGCCGGCATCGACACCTCGTCGCGGGCATCGTCACCTCGTCGGGGACGGCATCGTCCCGCGTAACGTACACGCCTCGGGACGGACCTTTCCAATCAATCCTACATTTCCGTACCCTCGTTCCACTCAAACCACACTTACACATGGCCGGAAACACTCACGGTCATACACAACCTCACGCCTTACACACAATCCACCACGTATGGTCAAACATACACACCTCACACACATTTCACGATTACTCATTCTCGTCACACGAACACGCACACATAACCACACACTCTTGGTACACAAATTCATTGCACAATCACACTCCCATACTCACACACCTCACGGCCACACACACGAGGCACACGGCCAAGCCACATTCAGGCCGAAACACACACCAAACCAGCCAACCATCACGAGCCACACAACCACATACAAAGTGCCATTCAAGGCATAATTCTACCAATCAATCGCACAATTCGGTCACAATCAATCCACAACACCTCGCCATCATCGAGCCTCCTAAACCTCGCAAATTTCCTTGCCAACTTAGTCTCCGATTCAGCCCACAACAACCAAACAATTAGCCTTCAATTTAGTCCTAAAATAGCCACATAAACTACCCGAACTAAACCCTAAACATGCCCTACGATACCTGAACTCCTAAATGACATTTGGGGAAAACACTTACCCAAAAAGGCGAGATTTAACGGGTGAACGGGCGGACACGGCAGCGGCTGGGAGGCGTTGCGCCGGCGACGTACGGACGGCGTGAATGCAGTACTTTTCGTATGGACGCCGTACGGACGGAGGCTGGATGGTGGCCGGCAAGGTGCCGGTGATAATGGCAGTCCGTGCGGTCCGCGTGAACAGTGATTCGTACGGACGGGCGAAAGCATCGTACGGACACTTGTACGGACGGTGCTAGGGCGGCGACGTATGGACGTCTTGGACGGCGGTGTCGACGGAATGACGGAGCTCGGCGAAGCTCCGGCTGCAGTATTGTTTACAAAACGGGAAGAGAGAAAAAGAGAGAGAGAGAGGCATTGCGGGACCGAAACCGTGGCTGTGGTGGTTGGTCTTGGTCGAAACCGATTGCTTAGTGGTGCTGGATGGGCAGGGCAGCCGGGATGCTGTTCTACGTGAACGACTTGCTTTGAGCGAAACGTAACCGCAGAAATGGAAACGGGAAAAGAGAGAAAATTTTGGGGGAAATGGCTGAATGGTCTTCACGAGAGAGAGAGAGTAGTCTAGTCAAATGAGTCAAAGTTTGGTGTGAGTAGAATCCATGTGTCTCAATCTAGGCCAATTGGACAATTTTGCCCTTGATCCAATGGCTATCTTTCCTTCTCATCCAATAATTTAGGGGTAAAATGGTCCTTTGTCCCTAACCAAGGGCTGACCAGACCTGAATTAAGTTAACTCACCTTGGTTAGAACCCCAAAAATTTTCTAAATTCGGAATTGTCCAAAAATGGCCTAGGGGCATTTTCGTAATTTTCTGATCCCGAACCGAAATTTCAATTTTCGTACATACGCGTTCCATATGTGCGTGGCCAACATAATATGGCGTCGGAATCGCGAAATTCATCGCACAAGCCCTCGAAAATCCACGTCAAAGCTTCAGGAATAAAATAGTATTATTTTTCCAATTTTTGTCGAAATTCCAATTTTTGGCCAAAACGACTCTTGGTATGCGTGGCCACCCCAAAATGACACTAGCCTCGAAAAATAACCTCAAACGACTTCAATCGCTATCGGTGACCGGAGGGGCAAAATCGTCATTTTCGGTCCCGACCGAAATCCATTTTTTGCGAAATGGGTGGCCCCAAGGTTGGCCAAGCCAAAACGTCATCGGCCGCTCAAAATTGTCACTTTCAAAATTCTCGATTCCCGGCCCGAATTCCAAGAAATGACTAAAATTGGACAATTGCAACTTTAGCTTATCTCCGGCTAACGGGTGGCTCATTGGGATTATGCGCTCTCGACCCGTGACCAACACTAAGTCAAATCACGTTTAAGTTTACTCCACCCGAGATGACCTCGATTGTCATATAATTGCAAGGGTCTGTCACTAGTTCCCTTCGGACACGATCAATCAAGTAGACCGGTCTCGGTTGGCTCAAAACATTCCCTCGTCAATCGATATGGTCGAAGATCGAACCTAGGTCGAGTTCTTTGGTCGTGCGAACTCAATCTCGTAATAGCCCTACCCCTAAGGTTAGCATCCCGTGAATGTGCATTTCCGGGTGAGATCTCACTATAAGTGCATTGGTCAAAATATTCATTCCTTAAATCCTGGGAAAAGGATCGAAAATTCAGACTGTTACATATCTGCAGTTACTCCATGCAACACTTATCTATAAAGTTATTCAACAACACTTATTCACAATTACAAAAATCCTCAAATAACAACAATAAACATAATTATCCAACACTTACGTTTTTGTGTCGATTGCCCACTGTCAAAGACTTTATTAATCAACTTTTTAAGTCTTGATTAAGGCTCTCGTCGATAACTTTCAGGATATTGTCGACGAC